GGGGGGGGGGGGGGGGGGGGGGGCGCGTTCCCCTCGTTTTTGAGGGTCGGGTTGTTGCGGTGGTGGTGGTTGTGGGTAAATGGTTGTGGGAGATGGTTTGGTTGCGTTGGGGAACAACACATCCTGCTTGCCATATGGTTCGACGTGTACTTCCATATATACCAAAATATGGTACCAGGCCCGTTGGAGAGGGGTGGGGTTGGGGGGGGGGCGTTCCCTCCACCTCGCGCCGATGCCGCGGTCCCGATTACGCTTCGCCTGCTTTGGTATCGAACTCCCTCGTGCCGTCAACGGAAACGGACACCTCGCGTGACCGTCTCGGTTTGCCTCTATTGTTTTGTTGTCTCTCTATGATTTGCTAATAGGGAAGAGAAGAGTGCGTGGTGGCTGTTTTTTCCTGATCGATTTCTACTACGGAAGAAGCGGAGGCGCATCGACCGGGGGACTTTTTTAGTGTGTCCGGCGTGCCGTGTGCCCAGAAAAAGAGGTTAGGCTGTTGTAACACTATCGGGAACGAAGGTATTGCACACGTCCTTGCAGGCAGCAGCACGGGCCCGCTGGTGGCAATTCTCCTTTTCGTTTTTTTTTGCTTTTGCCCTCGCCGCCGGGCCGTCTTTTGCTCTGCAACACACAATTGTGGTGGTGTGGACGTTTGTTGTAAGGGTGTATCGAGTGTGTTTAGCGTTCCCTTGGAAGGTCAGGTCTGTTGAGGTAGAAAAACACAACTGTATGTATGTCGTCGTGAACGAAAAAATTGTCGTGAATTACTTACTAACTTGCGGAGGGAGGCCTGTGCCAGTTGTTCTCTACTGGATTATTTATACCCAGTTTGTTGCTCTGTAATGGCATATTTATATGTTTATGCCATGCGAAAGCCCGAGAAGAATTTCGCCACTGCTTTTTTTTTTTTTTTCGGCTCTTCCTCCTTAGGCTATGCAAACATGACATGCGTTCAAGCCCGATGTGATGCGATCGCCGACCGAAAACACGCAAAGAAAGAAGCACCATGATCTGTCTCTGCCGGATACTATATTTTGGAAGAGGCGGACACGGCTGTTCACTCACTGCTGCGGTGGAAACCTAGCTGGGGGGGTGATTTTTTTCCTTGTGTTTGGCCACCAAAAAGTCAAAGTGTGTGTCATTGCCTGTGACGAAATATCTCAGTTCCATGATTGAGAAGAACCCCCCCAGCTCTGAAGACTCCGTCGAACTCGTGGCCCCGCTGCCGCGGACTGCGAAGAGTACGCATCAAACCAAGCCATGGTTTGAGTCCGCAATCGACCGGGTCACCTTTTCCTACGCGCACCCACCCCAAGGAAGGAAAGCACCCAACTACCGACCCGACGTCACATAGACATGGCTGGCTGATGATACCACATGATGACGACGATCAGGTACACCCAAGGAGAGGAACTGGCTCACTCCAAGGGGTCGTTTTCTAAGTTTCCTACGAACTACAACGACAACCCTTGTTTTCGTTCCACGAGTTTCGTCTGACCGATTCGTGGGTCTGGTGAAACCGTCGACACAACAAGCATCCAGCTTCTTTACTCGTTTGTTTTGGTGGCACATTTTTCTCAAGAAGAATGGCATTGGCTTTTTTACTTCTCACACAGATTTGGTTCCGCCAAAGAGCACCGCGTACGTACGTGCATAGCATCAAGGCCACGGTCCGTCGCCATGCATCAATCATCAGTACCTGCTCGGTAGAACTACTTTTGTTCTATATAAGTGTATACTCCTCCCCCCCCTGCCCGTTGTTGTTCTGTACCCCCTACTCACTCACGTAGCAGGTAGGTACTGCTGTTTTCTTCATACTTGCCCGTTACCTCCTCCCAGAATCCTTGCGCATCGATCTACCACCACCCACCCGGCCGACTCAGAACCCATTTGTCGGAAATTTATCACCCCCCCCCCCCCCCCCCCGCGCGCCAAGGAAAAAATTTTTTAACCCCCCTTTGGAAAAAAAGAAAGAAAGAATGGGCCTCCGGCAACCGGCCCCCCGGGGGAAAAATGGTCCCTCCTCTCCAGGAACCCAGGGCCAAGATCCACCCCCAAAGGACCCCAAAAAAAAAAATAACCCCCCCCCCCCCCACCCAAGGCAAAGGGTTAAAAAACACCGGCCCCCCCAACTAAACCCCCCCCAACTTGTCCCGGGGCGCCCCCAAAAAAGGAAAACCCCCCCCCCCCTTTCCCCCCCCCCCCCCCCCCCCCCCGCGGGGAAAAAAAAAAAAAAACAAACCCTTCGGGGTGTTTAACAAAAATTTTTCCCCCTTTTCCCCCCCCCCCCCCA